CGTCGTCCCGAGCCGCCCCTTATTCCTCCTCCTCCTCCTCCCCCTCCTCCTCCTCCTCCTCCTCCTCCTCCTCCTCCTCCTCCTCCTCCTCCTCCTCCTCCACCCGCCCCGAGGGTGGGGGCCTGGCACCTGTTATCGTGGTGTCAACGCCACACACTCCTCGGGGCACTCTGTCAGTGTCAATGGCATGCGGCGGCTGGGGGCAGACGAACCGGCTTTCGTCGTTCTCGCACTGGCCACGTGGCACTTTGCCTGTGGCAGCGGCGCGTTAGCTCCGCCCGTGACCTGGAAATGGGCACCAGGGGCGGGAAGTGCGCATTTGGTTGAGAGGCGGAGCTATGTGTTCCGTAAGTCCCTTGGCACCTTGTGTCCGCTCAACCTGGGGTACAAACCCAGTTGCACATGCCATCCGATTCGGCAAGGGTGACGGTCGGGAAGTACTGCGCGGTGACGCGGTGAACCACCTGTCCCCCTACGCACCACGCCGTCTCGGTTGGGCAGCGAGTCGCTGAGCGACGAGGTATCTGCCTTTCCCCTGACCGTCGGTGCTGGCGCCTGCGGGCCCCTTCCTCCTGTCTGGGAGGCCGAAGGTGACGGTTGAGCCTCGCTCGCCGCTCACTTCTTGGATCTACGACACTCATGACACTCCTCCTCCTCCTCCTCCTCTTCCTCCTCCTCCTCCTCCTCATCCTCCTCCTCCACCTCCTCCTCCTTTCCCTCCCCCATCCTCCTCCTCCTCCTCCTCCTCGTCCTCCTCGTCCTCCTCCTCCTCCTCCTCCTCCTCCTCCTCCTCTTCCTCCTCCTCCTCATCCTCCTTTTCCTCCTCCTCCTCCTCCTCCTCCTCCTCCTCCTTCTCCTCCCCCTGCTGATCCGCAGCCCCGGCACCAGACCCATTTTAGGTCTGACGCCCACCGGGGCAAGCGAGTCGGCCGACAGTCTCAAACCCACCACGGAAGGGCCCTTCAATTAGATGTTTGTCAGTACCCGGGTGGAGGGCGCTATTCCACCAAGGTGCCGGCGACAGGGCACGCCACCCGCGCCAAAAGACAGGGAGGGGGGAAGGAATGAGGGAGGAGAGAGCAGGAGAGAACCGGAAAGAAAAGGAGACGGGCGCGCAAGGCCGGGGAACCTGCGCCACCGACCCCCCCCCGTTATTGGGCGCCCGAGTTATCCGGGGTAACTCGGGTCCGGGGTAAGTCGGGTTTGGATTCCCGAAAAAAGGAACCCGAGTTATCCCTGACCCGAGTTACCCCTGATGATTCGGGCTCTGGACGCCCGAGTTATCCGGGGTAACTCGGGTCCGGGGTAACTCGGGTTTGGGTTCCCGAAAAACGAACCCGAGTTATCCCTGACCCGAGTTACCCCTGATGATTCGGGGCTCTGACGTAAGTCGCGCGCGCGCCCGTCGGAGGCAAGGGGCGGGGGAGGAAGAGAGGGAGAGAGGAGGAGAGAGGAAACAGGCGGACTGCAGCAGCATGCGCGCGGACCAGCAGAATGAAACAGAGCGGCGGTGGATGTAGCCAAAACGACTACGGAGGAGGGGAGAGGAGGAGAAGAAGGAGAAAACATTGCACAGCAGGATGCTTGCACGGGGGCCCAATCCCTCGGCGACCGCATCGGGCCTGCCGCGCGCCAGCGGCATGCTCGCCCGTGATGACGTCATCGGCGAACGCATCGGGCCCGCCAGCCCGCGGTGGGATGCTCGCCACTGTGTTCACCGCCCGCCCCCGGCGACAGGGGGCTTGTTGGCGCTGCGCAACTGCCCGGCAAGCGCCGTTTGCAGAACAGCACTAAGTTCTTGCCAGAAAGCGACAGCATCGGCAGACGCTCCTGCCTCTTCGACAGAGTGGCCCAAGTGATCCAGAATCAGCTGTCTCGCAGCAGAGCCCACTCGTCCACCAGTCTCGATCGCAAAAGGCGAGCGGTTGTGTGTGTCTGAAGGGCCAGCACTAGCTCGAGGCCAGAAACGCACCACACTCGACGCCCACACTCGCCGAACACACTCGCGCCCACACTCCACGCCGACACTCGCACTCCATACTCGCCTATCGCATTCGCGCCCACACTTTACGCCCACAGTCTACGCACACTCTCGCACCCCACACTGCACGCCCACACTCGAACCCCACACTCACACCCCACACTCTACGCCCATACACACACCCCACACTCTACGCCCAGTCTTCGCACACACTCGCACCCCACACCCACATCCCACACCAAACCCCGGGTTGATTTACCGACTTGATTCGATGAGCTGATTGCCCGAACTGGTTTGCAAAGTTGATTTACCGAGTTGGTCTACAGAGTTGATTTGCCGACTTGATTTCCCGAGTTGTTTCCCCGAGTTGGTTTACAGACTTACCGAGTTGATTTACAGAGTTGATTTGCCGACTTGATTTGCAGAGTTGTTTTACAGAGTTGGTTTGCCGAGTGATTTCCAGAGCTGTTGTGTGGAATTGGCTCGCACGGAACGCTGAGATGGCGAGTTGGCATGGCGTTGACTTGTTGGGCTTTGACTTACCATTCCAGGCGCGAAGTGCGAGTTGGTTCCCCGAATCAATTACCCGAGTTAATTTCCCAGGTTGATTTCCCCAGTTGGCTTGCCGATTTGATTTCCCGAGTTGATTTGCCGAGTTGATTTATAGAGTTGCTTAGAGAGTTGATTTCGCGGGGCGGCCTGCCGAATTGAGTTCGCAAATTGATGAGCCAAGTTGATTTGCCGCCTTGGTTTCACGAGTGGAGGTGCCGAATGGATTTCGCGACTTGGCTGTCCGAGCTGATTCCTCGAGTGCGAAGTGCGAATTGACTGCGGGGTGGGCGTTCCCGACTTAGTGTGCCGAGTTGGCCCGCGTTTCGCGTTCGTGTCGTGTGGGCGCAAAGCGTTGGGGGTGAGTGTGGGCGCGGGTGCGGGGTGCGAGTATGAAGTGCGAATGTGGGCGCACAGTGCGGGGGCCGATTGCGGGGGCGAGTGCGGGGTGCGAGTGCGAAGTGCGAATATGCAGTGCGAGTTTGGGCACAGAGTGTGAGGGGCGGCCGTGCGCCCCGAAATGGCTGCTAGCTGGACAGGCACGATCGCTGCCCCACAGAGATGATCAAATCAAAGGCGTCGTAGGCCCCTGCGGGTGCGGGCGCCGCTTCTCGCGGGCCGCGCCCCCCCGCTGCAAGGCCAGGCTTCTCCGCCCGAGCGCGCTCCTCCCTCGCGTCAGTACTGTTCCGGCTAACCGCGACCACATCCACCGCCTTCGCGGCGCCCTGGCGGGCCCAGACGACGTCGAGGACCGCCGTCTCGACGCGCGCCGCTCGACACCATCCACAACGGATCGGCGGTTCCTCTGCCACTGGGGCACAGTCTGCTTCTTGTGGACCCATGCTGAAACGCGCCGGGCAAGCCAGCGGGCAAGCAGGTCGCGAATGCGATCGTGTCGCGCCACGCAGCGCCCTCCCGTCTCGCACGCCAAGGCGTGGTTCTGGTCGGGTTCCACAACCGCTCCGCACAGCACCTCCTCTCGGGATGTGTTTCGACAGTGCGTCTGCGGGTCCAGTCCGCACAGCAGCATTGCGCCCGTCATTAGAAGGCGCCGCCGCAACACGATGCGGTACAGCTCTGGATGCATCCTGTGTTTAGGCGTAGTCGGCAACATTGTGAAAGCGCCAGCCCCCAGGCCCCCCGCGGACAGCAGGCGACCGCGCTCGTGGTGGTCCAGGCCAGCTTTGGCGACGCCTGCAATCGCTTCCATCGCTTCCTCCTCCTCCTCCTCCTCCTCCTCTTCCTCCTCCTCCTCCTCTTCCTCCTCCTCCTCTTCCTCCTCCTCCTCCTCCTCCTCCTCCTCCTCCTCCTCACCTCCTCATCCTCCTCCTCCTCCTCCCTCCTCCTCCTCTCCTCCTCCTCCCTCCTCCTCTCCTCCTCCTCCTCCCCTCCCTCCTCCTCCCCCTCCTCCTCCTCCTCCTCCTCCTCCTCCTCCTCCTCCTCCTCCTCCTCCTCCCCCTCCTCCTTCGACGGCCCACGGGGCCAGGCGAGGAGGGCCCCGGCTGGGCCGAGAGCGCGGACCAGCAACAAGCAACGCGTGGTGCGCTTTGCTGTTCCATGCGCTGGGGGTCCATGCCCTCCCACTCCTCCCTCGCTCCCTCTGGGCCCTCCCCTCGCTCCCTCCGGGCCCTCCCGCTCCCTCCCGCTCTCCCTCCGTCGCTCCCTCCCTCTGGGTCCTCCCCCGCCCCTCTGCATTTCGGTCGAAATCTATAGCAAGGATGGGCGGTAAGGACGCAAGGGCCTTGGACGCCGAAGGTGGCACTTTCTGCGCGGCGCACTGCCAGCACCCTGAAAGGCTGGCAAATGGAAACCGCGAAGGATGGGCCGCAGAATCAAGGACACAAGGGTACCATGAGGACGTCCGTGCGTCCTTACTATGAGTGTTGACTGTACTCCTCCTTCATGGAACTGTCGCGGAGCCCTCCCCCCTTCCCGACCCCCCCCTTCAGACCAGACAGCGGGCGCTTCGATTCCTTCGAGGACCTGGCCCCCAGACATCTCGACTTGGAGACGGCGGGTAAAAAGTGATGAGGAACCCCATCAATCAACGTTGGAGGGGGATGAAGCCACATCCGATCAAAATCGGTCACTAGATCCCTCCAGGGATCCATCTGGCGCGATGTTTCACCCCCCAAGATCCGTTTTTCAAGGTCCCAGGGCCCAAACGGGCCCCTGGAGGCCGAACAAACACCAAAAACCCTCTAGAACCAGAATCTCCAACCTGCCCGCCCTGCCTGCTGGCCAGAACAATTGCGGGGCCACCTCAGACCCCCAGACAACTCCAACTCTCGACACCTTTCCCCAGGGCCGACTTCTCATCCCGAGTCGTCCCGCTGGCGGCCCCGAGGCCCAGAATCGGCCTCCCGAGACAAACAAAATGACGGCGAGCTGACCGCCCCGACAGATTCTGTTTCGAGGCGCCAAGTGTCCGGGAGCGAACGACGGAGGACGGCAGACGGCGGCGAAGGGCCTCCAGCCGGGGCGCGCGCGCTGCCTGCCACCTACCCTTGGGGCAAGGATCTGCTGCGACGGCGGGCGCGGGCCCCTCGGAGGGAGGAGAAGGACGACGAGAAAGGGACGGAAAGGGTGATTACGTGCCCCGACCACCAACGAGCTGAGAAACCCAACACGGACTGGATTGTCTTTTGCGGCCTCTGGGGGCCCTCGCCTCGCCCCGTGACTGGAAAAGACATCTTGGCATGAAGAACAGGCCCGGCGAAAGGGTCAGGGCTCTCGGGGACACTTTGTTGGAAACGTCACATCCGATCTCTGGGGTGTGTGGGGGGGGGGGGCGGCGCGCATAGGGGGGCAGCGCGGGGGAGGTGGTCTCCCGAGAAGGCAGGGGGGCTTCTCAGAAGGAAGGCAGGTAGCTTCCTATCCAGACATCTGGCGCTCCTTTTTTGTTCGATGCGTGGTTCCCCAGAGGTCTGGCCCACTTCCCCAGGGCTGGTTTTTCACCATGAGTCGTCGTTTGACAGTTCTGGGGACAGCTGAGAGCCCCTTGAGGCCAAACATAACCCAAAACAAACAACTCCATGTGTTTCGGAACATCGGATCTTTGGGTAGAAGCCCGCCCGGCTTCTTAGAAGCCTTCGGAGAAGGCCCAATCACTTTCTGAGAAGCCCACCCCCGCCGTCCCAGAAGGCGCAGCTGCGCGCGCGGCCAAAGATGAAGGGCAACGATTCGAGTAGGGGATAGACTGCAGAATTGATTTACCCTGAAAATTGGCTTGTCCTCCGGATCTACGGATCATGCAGCGTCGACTGCTGCGTAGGTCTACGCAGAGCATTATGCCCACATGTCGTAGCTCCGACGGAATAATAATCCAGGGTACATCGATGATGCAGGCGATCCTCTACTCGCCGATGGGGGGGGACTGACTCAACGGTGGATACATTGAACTGGAATCGGCGGTACATCGTCGATGGGTCAGCGATGAGCCCCCGATAGCGAATCCGCACGGTCCTGGGCGGGGTGGACTTTCAGGCCTCTGTCGGCGATCAATGGGCGATGGGGGGTCGATTTCCCACTTCTGAACGTGCCCTCACTGGACGCTGCCCCGGAACGGAGGAGAGGGAGGAGAGGGACAGAAAACACGCGGCACCGCCAACTCCCCCTCCTCCCGGAGCCACCCTTCTGACTACTCCCTGTATCGCCTCCTCCTCGGTGTCTTCAGTTTTCCGTTCGCGCCCTGCCTGCGGGAAGAGCTGCCAAATTTGGGCCATTTTCCTAGGAGAGAGAGAGAGAGAGAGAGAGAGAGAGAAAAAAAAAAAAAAAACGACATTATGTGGCGCACGAATTCGGTGCCAACAAAACCGCTGAAAGAAGAACAGTTCGGATCCGTGTGGATCAACCTCGGCCAACGACGCGGAGGCCGTGGTGCCTCATGTTATACAAACTGCGATGCATCTCCCTAGCTCATGATTCGAGCCGGTGCCCACCCCATCCATCTCTCCAGGGGACTCCGCGTCCTGCGCCGAAGCGCCGCAGGAGGGTACCAGAGGCCGAAATTGTGTGGGAGGAGCGCCAATATGGAACAACATCATACCCTTGAGATCTGAGCAGCAGCAGCAGCAGCAGCAGGGGCGGCGGCGGAGACGGCAGCAGCATCAGCTGGAAGACGGCGACAACCAGGACGGAAGTAAAACCCGGACGGGAACCGAGATGGCCGCGAGGGGTGGGCGGCGGTGAGAAAGAGCACTACGAACGCGCAGGCGGGAGGCCAAAGCCGGCGGGGCGGGCGGGCAGGCGGAAGAGGGGCCGGGCGGAGGCAGCAGGCAGGATCGGCCCGCCAGGAACGAGCGCGGCGACGGAGCGCCCTCCCCGCCGCTTTGCCGGCAGGAGCCGCTGGTCCTCCGAGCGTGCGTTGGCGCCGACGTGTTGCCTGTCTGCCGCAGCCCTACGAGGCGGTGCAACGGCCGGCGCACGCCGCGCGCGCTCCATCGGCGGAGCTGAACGGGGCGAGCACACGTGGTGGATTTCGGAAACCCGGCACCCAAAAACGTTTTCATCCCTTGGGGACGCATAATTTACTTCCGCCGCCCTTCCGCCGGCTTCCGCCGGCGGAGGCGGCCTCGTTTTACTTTCGCCGACCTTCCGCCGCCTTCCGCGGCGGAAGAGACGACAATTCTTTCTATCCTCGAAGGCAGGGCCGTTTTTTGAAACGCCTCACATCGGGCCAGCAAGCGACCCGAAGCTCATCGAAGGAGGCCCCCCTCCAGAAGCAGTCCTTGCTCAGCACCTCGGCGGTCTGGCCCTGCAGCGCCGGCGCCTGGCCGCGGGCAGGCGCTGCGAGGAGGAAGCGGTCGGGGGTGGGGGACCCCAGACCGCCAAAGAAAACGACTCGGGATGCGAGGCTGGCCCTCGGGAAAAGGGTCGGGACTTCTGGGGACCAAGCTGAAGAAGGGACGAACGGACGGAGGGGGAGAGATAGGGGGATGGAGCCCCGGGGGGGGGAACAAGGACGGACGGAGGAAGGGAGGGAGGAGGGGAGATTGGAGATTGGCGGGGGACGGGGGGGGGGAGAATGGCCCAGTTCAGCCGTCGTCACCTCTCAAGCCACTGCTTCATGGTGAATGTCATTCTGCTGATGATGAGGGTCCCTAAACAATTTGTCGTTAGACATTCCAAACTACCTAAGGCCTAAACTTGTGCATCGACGTAGCCAGAATCGGTGGGGCGAGGCCTCCCCTTGCCTCCAATGGCCTCCCATGGTTCCCGTTGCCTTCCGCTGCCTCCTGTCCTTGTCCTGCAGCACTATCCTACAGCCCTATCCCTATCTAAATCCCCATCCCGATCCCTATCCCGATCCTTATCTGCATACCTGAACCCCAAACCCAACATCACTGCTCCATGTTCGTATACACCCCCTCTCCCACCCGACCAGTAACAAGCCGGGGACCATGACCCCCCTCCACCATCCATTGCAAAGAACAAAACCAAACTCCTATACACCAAAACCTGGATTATGCGCGGACGCACTGCGATCACTTGCATTGGTTTGACATGGACGGCGGGGTAGCCTGCTCCGTACAATGCCAACACCCCCCGCCATCCCTTGCGAAAAATACACCAAGGGCACTTCGCATCAAAATCCGGATCATGCGTAGACGCCCCACAATCACTTCGCACTGGTTGTTTCATCGCTTCGCTCATTCCGCCGGCCCATATTGCCTCGCCGCTGTCGTTTGTCGGGGTGTTGTCATCAATGCGGTGCCGTTGGGCGGCTGCCATGTTTCGGAGGCGGTGGGTGGTGGATCAGAGGCCTCATGGATATCGGTTGGGCTCTCGCGGTTGGCCTCTCGGGAGCCTCTGGGAGGCAGTTTGAAAGCCTCTTGGGGGCCGTGTTGGGGACTCTTGGGGCTGCTTGGGGTGCCTCTTGGAGGCCCCTTCGGGACTCTTGGGGGCCTCTTGGGGTCCCCTGGGGTCTTCTTGGAGCTGAAGGCTGGACTGTTTGGGTCCTGGTCCACTTCTTGGGGCCGTTGGGGGCCATTTTGGGACCCTCTTGGGCCGTCTAGGGCGCCTCTTGGGCTGTTAGGGGCCATATTGGGAGCGTGTTGGGCCGTCTGGGGACAATGTTGGAGGCCTCTGGGGCAATTCTGGACGCTGTGAACCCCCAAACGTCGTACACGCGAAACATGTACGTTTTCCGGAGGGACTGGGACGATTTTTGCTTGTTGGGGCTCTGTTGGAGAGCCTCGTGAGGCTCCCTTGGGTCTTTTTCGCAGCCTCTTGGGGCCGTCTGGAGACCATCTTGAGGCTCCCTTGGGACCGTCTGCAGACCATCTTGGGGCCTTCTGGAGACCATCTTGAGCGTCTTGGAGCGATCCTTCGGCGACTCGGGGCCCCTTGGCGTCCAAGCGCCCTCTTGGCGCGCTCCTGGAGCGCCATGGGGGAGTCGGCCGGGCATTTGCTGGGGTACTTTTCGTCCAGGGGTCCCCAGGGACCGCCACGCGAACGCGTACAGTAAATACGGTGAATTTACTGTTACTGTTACCGGAGATCTCAGCACGCCTCTGGCCCGTTGGGCCGGCGTATTTGATAGGGACGGCGGGGTGGGAGGGCGGCACATTGCCTGGCGTGCGCAACGCCAATACCCCACAACACTCCATGTCAAAAACACTGCAAAACGCACGTGGGTGCAAGATCTGGATCAAGCGCGGAAGCCAATCACCACACTACACTGTTGATGGCAAGGACGAAGGGGGTGCCGGCATATTGCCTGCTGCGCGCAGGCCCGTCATCCCCGTCAGGACACCATACTACAGATATTCCAAGCAGCGATCACGCGCAGGAGCACCGCAAACACTTCGCATTTCATTTGACAGGAATGCTGGTGGGGCCCTGGCACGTGCGGCGCACCTCGCGCACCTGGCTGGCATCTGCACTGATTCCTGATCATGATAGATAGCGCCCCCTGCCCATGCTGAGACTCGAGTGCTGCTTATGTGGTGGGAGCGCGGGTGGGAGTGAGCGGAGCGAGACGACCGTCCTTCGGGGGGGAAGCTTGATGCCTATCCCTATCCCTACCCTTAGCCCGATCTCTCCATCGTGCCTCCCAACTGTGTCCAACAGGTACGCCCGCCCGCCCGACTCGCCTGTTGAGTACAGTCCAGACCGATAGTAAAGATGGGTCACCTTGCCAAGGGTACCCTTACGTCCTTGCCGCCTCGGTCCATCTTTGGCCACTTTCGATGGCCAGCTCCGCTCGAACAGCTTCGGCATGGCCTTCCAAAGCCCTTGCATTCTTATCGCGCATCCATATTAACCCTGTGCAGGCGAGAATAATCCCGCAGAGCCGCAGAGATAAAAAGTTCGAGGCCCAAGAAGGACAATCATGTTCCCGGGAATGCCGATGCTAAGATGTCTGTGTGAGTTGGATGGCTTTTCGAACGTGCACGTTTCGCTTGATATATCCTCACGCAACTAGCAATCATGATTACTGCTGGTGCTATGCATAGTATGGAGATCAGAGCTACGATAGAAACTTCGGGTGTGATAATTCGCCGGCCCAACGGGCCAGAGG